AGCCAGGCACGGTGGCTCACACCTGTAGTCCCAGCACTTTGGGAGGCCGACGCAGGTGGATCCCTTGAGCCCAGGAGTTTAAGACCAGCCTGGGCGACATGGCGAAACCCTGTCTCTACTAAAAATCACAAAAAGTTAGTTAGGCATGGTGGCACGCACCTGTAGTCCTAGCTACTTGGGAGGCTGAGGTGGGAGGATAGTTTGAGCCTGGGAGGTAGCGGTTGCAGTGAGCCAAGATCATGCCACTGCACTGCAGCCTGGTGACAGAGACCATGTCAATCAATCAATCAATCAATCAATATGAGTAGCATGTGGTGTTATGGAAACAGCTCAAGAGGTGACGTCTGAGACCTTGAGCTTGTTCTCTGCCCCTTTGCTCACCAGTTGTGTGCCTTTGCCCGGGTACTGCACTTCCTTCAGCCCAGTCCCTTATCTTCTCTCCAACTCGCCGTTTGATCTTGAGGTTCCAGTTAAAGCATTTTTATTGGAGAGTTTTTACATCCTAAAACAGTGCGTATATATGTATGGTAGTTCCTACCATTCTGCAAGCTTTGTGGATTTCCTTTTTTCTTATGCAGAGTTTCTGTTGTGTTCCATGAAGTGAGTCTTGCAGGTGATTTTGTTGTTGTCACCTGTTTTACACAAGAGAACCGGGAATCACTGAGAAGGAAAATTACTTGCCCCAATTTTTCCCTGACTGACTGCAGGGTGAGAAGAAAATGGGATCTTCCTCCCTAGCTTTTCAACTTGGTTCTCAGGTAATAAATATCCTACCCACTAGACATAGCTTTCCAAGGTAACTCATAGAGGACACCACCATACGCTTGCACAATACTCTTCCCATTTCTAAATGTCACTCCGTCAGATAAACGTGGCCTCCCTGACCTGCAGTGTGGACATCTCCTGTTGCTTTCAGCATCACCATCAGTCTCTGCCCATCCCTTCCACCTCTAGTGACTGTGAGCCTTTCCCCTCTCTCTGGTCACTTATGAGAAACTAGAACTAAGCCAGGCAGCCAGGAACTCTTGGCATTATATGGTAGGTATATTAGTCAGGGTTCTCTAGAGGGACAGAACTAATGCAATAGATGGATAGATAGATAGATAGGACAGAACTAATGGAATAGATGGATAGATAGATGGACAGATAGATAGATAAAGGGGAGTTTATTAATTATTAACTCACATGATCACAAGGTCCCACAATAGGCCGTCTGCAGGCTGAGGGTCAAGGAGAGCCAGTCCGAGTTCCAAAACTTAAGAACTTGGAGCCTGATGTTCGAGGGCAGGAAGCCTCCAGCACGGGAGAAAGATGGAGGCTGGGAGGCCAGGCCAGTCTCTCTTTTCACATTTTTCTGCCTGCTTGTATCCTAGCTGTGCTGGCAGCTGATTCGATGGTGCCCACCTAGATTAAGGGTGGGTCTGCCTCCCCCAGCCCACTGACTCAAATGTTCATCTCCTTTGGCAACTCCTTCACAGACACACCCAGAATCAATACTTTGTATCCTTCAATCCAATCAAGTTGACGTTCAGTAGTAACCATCACAGTAGCGAATTTCTTTTATGAATTTGGAGGAAGTCAGTAGTGTCTTAAGATGGGCTTTTCTCCATTGCATTTTTAAAATCTGGGGCTCTTTTCCTTTAAGCTTATGCCAGCTCTTGATAGCACTGTAAATTACAATGGACTGCATTGCAGAATATTCTGGTCTACACACAAGAACCAAAATAAAAATGATATTTGGATTCTTATAGACTTTTAGTGTGATAAAACTTGGACATTTTTTTCCAAGGTATTAAATTTGGAAAATAATGGGTAAAGAGTATGGTTGATGGTTAGTATGCCACAGAAAGCGTGTGTGGAAGAAAAAGAGAATATACCTGCCTCTCACATAGGAGTGGAATCGTGGGAAGTTAATGTCGGGCGGATGTTCATCTCACCTTGCCTGACACACATTCATTCTTCCCAGGTGGTGCTACTATGGGAGGTGAATGGACAGGCATAAGAATTTGTCGTAGCTGAGTTTTCCTTGCTGCTTTGTCCCTATGGGTTTGGAAATTGTATTTATTTGAATCTACTTTCAGAAAGCATTTAAATAGGGCCGTATGTGGTGGTTCGTGCCTGTAATCACCACATTTTGGGAGGCTGAGGCGGGCAGATCACTTGAGGTCAGGAGTTCAAGACCAGCCTGGCCAACATGGTGAAACCCCATCTCTACTAAAAGTACAAAAATTAGCCGGGCGTGGTGGCACATGCCTGTAATACCAGCTACTCAGGAGACTGAGGCAGGAGAATCGCTTGAACCCAGGAGGCAGAGGTCACAGTGAACCAAGATCATGCCACTGTATTCCAGCCTGGGCGACAGAGTGAGACTCTGCCTCAAAATGAAAAACAAAAAAGAAGAAGAAGAAGAAGAAAGAAAGCATTTAAATAGTGAGCATTGGGATATCAATATTTCGCAAAGGGACATTTCATGCTGAAAGTGCTGGTCAACCTGATGAGCTAATTAGGTAGGGAATAAATCACCCAGAAGTCTTCTTCATGGAGTTGGTTGTTTTGGTCACTGGGTCATGTGGAACAAAGATGCTGATTCATGTCTGTTGCAAAATAGTTTGAGTTTGATATATTACTGTTAGAAGATTTGACTCAGAAACCAGGAAAGAAATCAAGGAAAAAAAAACTAAAGAAAGAAAAATTACCATGACAAATTCATTATAGTCATTGTAGTTATATTTTTATAAGACTGGGCTCTACTTTGCCATTTGAAGCTAAACTGATGCACAGTTAAGCGTTATTCGTTGAAATATGCTGTGATCTCCATTCCTGTTTAAATTGTAACGTCTCCTGATAGGTTGTGTTGTTGGAGTTCAGATACACGTGAATTTCATTTTGCTAGAAATTTGCTCCTTTTAATGTTGAAGACTTAAAAGACACCCAAGGAAAAGAAGTAATCCAGAGATATAATAATGACAACCAGGAAAGTATTTTGTTAAATTTGTATGTGTTACTAAGATAGGACCTTTGTGATTTTGATGTTAATCAAATGTAAGATAAACAGCTTACAAAAACTGTGGCAATCATGCTGTTAGATTTCCAAGCAGAGACAAGAAGACTTTCACCTGCCTCCAGCTGGACTTCAGAACTTCGTTTCCTTAGGGTTCTTGACAGTGTTTGTATGAAACAAACCCTGTTCTGTGCTGTGTAAGACGAGTAAGCTTCCCAGGTTAAAATTATTGCTCCAGACCACAGATTTCAGATTCCAAGTGGAACAGAAGTCCAAAGTTGCTGTTTATAAACTTCTAAGGGTCGATTGTACCTTTCGACGTCCACCCTGTGTTGACATACAGCAAAACCGAAGGGCTCTGAAACTTCTAACCACTTTCTGAATTACAGTGAAGAATATTATTTGCATGGTGTTGAAGTCCTACAATGTCTCAGTGATTTTACATATTGAAAAAAGTCATTGATTTCCATTTTAGTCTTCTGCACTGTCCTCTCATTTCAAGTAGTCTCATGTTCCATGTATTATCATGTTATTTGAGGAGTTTAAAAAAAAAAAGAAAAAGAACTGGGGAATCTTCAAGAGGTGGCGGGAATATTGGCTTTGAGAAAGGAATCTTAGAATTTAAAGGTACTGTTTTACCTAAAAAGGAGTCCAGTTTCCAACACTTGGGTTGGAAACAACAGGCTATGGTTGCCCAGGATCTGAAGTACA